TGTGTCAATGGAAAGTTTTTGCCTGTCATCATCGATAGGTGATGTTGTCAGTATTTTACCAGCCGCGTCTGATAAATAACAAAATTTATCTTGCAAAACATGAAGCCCAGCGTCAAAACTATTTCACAATGGTATAGTTTCAGCATAGAATGGGCATTCCTCTTTGTTGAACGCAATTTTCAAAACTCAAAAAACAGTGTCGTATTCAAGGTGAATGTGAAAGTCATATAAAGCTGTAACATGATCACATCAATAATATCTCTTTCATTAATATTGATGAATGCTTGCTTGCAAGACAGCGTATACTCATGTGAGTTAAAATAGCAAGATCCTTGTACTATTATCGGTATGCATTTGTTTCCATTGAACAGAAAACACAAGCCAACGGGTTTGGAATAATTTGTACAATACGGTCAATGTGTCGAGTCAGCTAATAGAGAGAGCTTATAATTAACGAGCCTTGTACATCCGACACACGCGTCTAATACTAATACTAATCAACACGCATGCATGACAAAAACTCGGTTCCATAATTAGTAATACGCACGCCTTTCGGTTTGTTACAATGACGTCGCAAGACCATTGTACTCGAGATGCTTGCACTTTACATAATTAACCTCTACTTCAATGTCAACGATGTGGTGTAATATGAAGAGCATTTTCATGTTTGTCCAACCATTTCTCGTTGTACAATCAATAAAACGTTATTCCGAAAACTTATTTCGCGCACTATCGAAATCCGCACCCGGTCAATCAAAAACAATACGTTCTTCCCACGGCTGATTTGATTGATTCAAGTATTATATCATTTTATTACTTCGAAACCGTCAGGAGTATCAAAAAAGCAAGTAGGCGCAAAACGGAGAGAACGCAACAAGAGTATTAACAATGTGATTAATCTAAATGACAGCGATCGTATTGATATCCCTTTCGATTGTGCAAGACCTTTGTTTCACAGGACAACGTTGTCTCTCAATTACCCAGCCACAATTACATCAAATGTTACACGTTGTCTGACTTTGTTACAACATGTTCCCCTCCTACTCCCCCCTCTTATTTTAAAGTTTTACTTATCAAGCACGCTCGGTTTTGGGATTGGTGGTGAAAAGTCTATTTAGATTTTCCTTACCAGAAGTGGATGTGGTATTAGACTATAAATGTGGGAACAAGGGAAAAGAAATGTGAGTATGACAAAAAGACGATCGGGGCTAGAAGCGAGGGTTGTGGTCGAATGGAAATATGCGTTTCATTAGATTGCGAGACGATACGTTGACTGCTTATGTTCGACAATCAAAAGGCAATAATCAATCCCCAAATCTATAAATCCCATTTACGAAAGTGTGGCTGAAACGTATCACTTTCTAAATATAGTAAATCATTTACACACATTCACCCGACAGGATTACGTATAGTGTAAACAATGGTGGAACACAATCAGCACAAGGAAAATGAAATGTTTGCGCCAGACTTTTAATATCCGAGAAAGAGATAAGCTCCTGCAAGTTTCAAATTAGGTACGATCGCGTGCACACGTAAAGTGACAAGACCGGGTTTTTCCTAGTCGACTTTTTGTCACATACAAAAAGTGGCGCACAAACTGTGTCACTTGACCATCCCTGAATTCCACGAAAAAAAAGGGGTGTCGTTTTCTGATAGCGCTCAATAATGCGTTTTGTACAATGCGAATATATAATACATACATGCGCTACTTGTCATCTGGCAATAAATGAGGATTAATAAAAAGTCTTTGTTATTTTTGTTTATATTTCGGCGTTACCATAATTTAAAATCCAACAATCCTCCCCAATACAGTTTATATGTTACAAAAACCATAACAGTTGCTCATACATAGAATTAAATACTATCCTTTGTTTAGAGAAATGCTAGCTAGGAATATACAAGTGCTTTAACAAGAATATTTGTATCGACATAATTTAAAAAGAAAAAAGTCCAAGTGATGAATAAAATAAAATCGGAATAATGGATGCAAATTGTGGGAGTAAACATGACAAAAATTGGCTTCTTTTCTCCCATGATAACCATTTACCAGAATGATTCTATTGATGTGGCCGTGGTTAAAAAGTCTGAATGGTTGAATGAATAGATCGTAGCGTTCATTTTGTGTCTTTGAAACAGTTCTCACATACGCGCGACCACACACCACCCCAATCTTCATTGCCATCGGGGAAGAGGAGCATTGAATAGGCACTATGTGTACTGCAGAATATGTCGCCACATCTAAAAGAGAGATGAGAGACGGAAGTGAATATTTATAATAAAAAGCAGACGTATTGATTTTTGCCGTCAAGAAAAATTATTTACCTTCGACAATGATGCCGCCTATTCCACCAATTAAAGTTTACGGTACACTGATGATGTTGACACGTTGACACTTCGTCGTCTTCAACCCAACGCTTTGTTAGAGCAAAACGAGCCTGATGCCGAATAATCTCTTCATCAGTCATTAGCAGCATTGGATTCGTATACGATTCACGACGAGACTAGAATGTATAACAAAGGTTAACATGACCGCTCGATTCATATCGGATTATTGTTTGATAGACATTAAGACATACCTGCGGAGGCGATAGACATCTTGCAGGCATCAGGCCGGAAGCATCCGCGTCCAAACTCTTTCTATCGTTTTTCCTTTCGCTCTTCTTCTCATTCTTCTCAATCTTTTCACTTTTCTCCAATTCTTTCTTTAATAAACTAATTGAATTCTGTTGCGGTTTATGCTTCTTAACGGTCTTCTTCTCTCCTGCATTGCCATTATTGTTCTTATTACTGCCGCTACCACTGCCAACAGCAGCACCGCTATTACTGCTAGAGCTCTGCTTCCTTGCATGTCCATAATTACCATCACCAATTGTTGGCCCCATGGTATGCCTACGATGCGTTTCGCTCATTAGTCGGTCCATTTTGCATTCTAAACCTTTCAACAGTGTTTCCATCGAATTGATCATGGTCGATTGGCCCGAAGCAACAGCTTCGACTTGTCTTATTTTCTCCTCGTATTCACGTTCTTTCAATTCTAGCGTATACTCAATATCCCTTTTCATATCCAATAATTCTCTAAAAGCGATTCGCGACTTGTCCATTTGTGATTGGAGGTCATTTAACTCATCGGCTTGACGACGGCAATTGTCCATGACCGATTTCCACTCTATCGGAATCTCGTCATCAGAGAAATCCGAACCTGATTCGAGATCTATGCTCAATCTGGACGTGACAGAGTTTAAAAAATCGTCGCGTTTGAGAAGTTCCTTGCTGTCTTCAAGGGTGGCAACTACTTCATCTCTTGTTTGTTTGTACTGAACTTCGAGATGCTTCTTTTCATTCAACATTGCGGCATGATCCAGCTGTAAGCCGGCAAGTGTTTCCTTGACGCTATCAATCTCTTTTTTGAGTTGAGATACCTGGTCGAAGACAGTAGGGTCTTTTTCTTTTTCATCGTCGGAAACAGTAGTTGACACACAAGATAATGTTTCGCTTTCCGTGTCTTCGTCATCCGTAAGACCCATGCTCGTTTTCTTTTCTATGCTCTCTTTGTAGAATGACCTATCACGAAACATCGAGTCGTCTCCATTATGCATAGCCCGTTCATTATCTTTGTATAGTGTGCTCAGTGTATATTCGTGTTTTGAAGGTGGTGTCATGGACATTTTTGGACAGTGGTCGTCAACATCAAAAGCTAATCTTGGTGGGCGGGGTATATTATAGTCCTTGTGCGAAACATCTCTTCGTGGACTCCGCACTGCTTTGATTGTGCGATTTGTAGGGATGCTACCTGAACTATTTGATCTTCGGCGTCGTCTCTAATGAAGAAGATGATGTGCAAGTATAAGGGTTAGAATGAATATGCGCACTAATGGGGGGGACAGTTGATGAAGGTTGATAGAGAATGTACGAAAATTGGGACATGTTGAATCACAGAGGTTATCAAGAGTTATTAAATGTTGACAAGCAAGCGAATTAACATACCGTACTTAAACGATTGCGAGGAGTATCTAGACCTGATGCCGGTATATTCATAATATGGAGAAATAGGATGCTGTAACTGTTTCGTTATTAACCCCTATTTGTTTGTCTGGTGGTGTATAGTATGTCTCTGGTGTTGTAGTGTTCTAGTGTATAAGAATGGTTGAATATGTCCGTAGCCGTTCTATATGACAGCTATGGTACGACTTTGCGTTGTTATTACTTTGCAAGAGTCTATTTAGTCTTTTGCAAGTGGGCTTTGTTTTAATGTGTTGTTATTGTGTTGTTATTTGATGACAGGTTGTCTTGGGAATGACACGTTATGTTATGTCTGAAATGGGTTCTTTTGACAAACACTTTTTTTATTTTAAACGGAAGCAACAACGAAAGAAATTTTATATTTGAAAAAAGTGTTGAAGGCTTATTTATTTATGTGGTATTGTCTTAAATACGTTAGGGGTTCACAATAAGGAGTCATAAGTACGGGAAAAAAAAATAAATGATGTATAATAATAGTCAATAGTTTAATCTAAAATATACTCGTTATTTGAACAATAAAGGGCCAAGAAATAAAAGTAATGTCTGCATATTTTATAATAAGTATTATTTATGCTAATTGTGGACTCGCAAAATAAAGAACGCATCAACCCATGATTTTACATATCCGAGCAATGTGTTAACCGGCAACTTATTCATCGTAGCCCTTTGTGACAAGGAGAGACAGCGTACAAGGATAACAGATCCACACTTTGAACCTTCGGATAAGTGATATCATCCTAATGACCATCAATATCCCAGTGTTCCGTGAGCTGTATCTTTATTGTAAATGCGTATTAAGAGAACAGAAGACAAAAAGGGAACACGCGGATGCTGAGAAATTGACATTAATTGTGTAACTATGGGCATCTGCGGATTGTGGATGGTTGCATTCACCATCGGAAAAGCGCAGCGAGTAATGGAAAAGGTATTAAAAATTCAACAAGATGTAAATTCTCTTCTTTAACGTGACTTTGATGAACGCCCACACATCCGCAATATAACAATCATCCAATACAATGAACCTGGTTGATTTTCCCAAATCCATCATTGTACCACCACCATATATTCAGACTATTGTATTTTTTAACTCACTCGCTAATATCACTTTTGATTATTATACATGCTAAATACAGGTTTTTTTTTCTCTTCGCTGAATAAGCTAAACTGTATGATGATGTAGAGACACGTGTGGTATCTATTGAGATATCACATACTGGCATAATTGCCTGCTCCAATCGTATTCTTACCTAGCCCCATGTTATAGTTTGCTAGGTCAGCCGCAATCACTGACTATTACTATTATTATTATTATGCTTACATTATATGCGAGGGCTAGGGTTAGGGTTAGGGTTAAGGTAAAATGGTAAGAGTAAGCAAGAAATGGTAAGAGCAAGCAAGGTAAGAGCAAGCAAGGTAAGGCAAGATAAACACAATAATAGCAATGAGTGTAAAGCTTCTGTGGGCGGCAGCAAAGGTTGAGGAGTTCGGCAATGACAATCCCAAGTCGAGTTAGACGTTGATACAACACCCATGCAGCAGATATGCGTGAAATACGTATGCGTACAAAAGCCACAAATCCAACACCTCCATTTTAGTAATTTATCGCATTGTACAGGAGCAGTACTAAGACTAATACAGTAATAAAAACATCTGAATCACATGCCTGAGGAAATTATTTGATACATCGAAACATTGCGCAGAAACTTCCATAGATTAGTCTCATTTGGTAAAAAGCACAGTGGCGCCTGCAGTTCGCGACGAGCGAGAAGGCTAAATTTGCTCGTTTATGTTTTGCGATCTTGATTCAACGATCGCCAAGCACCGAAGTTGCATATGCGGGATCATGTCTCCCCACCTTGACCTGTGCGAGAAGATTACAGAGTCGGAAAATGAGAGGAGAGAAAAGCATGAATACGACGAAAAGATCCCGTTTGATATGCAAGACAACAAGGTTAGATTTAATTTACAACGGACGAATCATAAAATGCGCTATTAACTTTGAATGATTATCTATAAACATTGGCTTGGTGCGATAGGTTTATTGCGAGATGGATAGATAATACGATTAGAATATAAAGTTATATAATAAATCGCTTGAACTTTTACGTTAAATTGTTATCGATAGTAATAATACTACTGAGAAAGACCCGCTAGCGTTTAGTTTATCAATGAAATGTTATCGCTATTCCGAGTTTTTTTTTTCGCCTTACAACCATAGACTGTATAAACATGTAGGTTAGTTGACAATCTGTGCTATATATTTGATGCCAAATGCGTCGATATCTATTCGACAAACAATATCTTCTTATCCGGAGAAAAGTCTGCTGAATGGTGAAAACCGAGATACACGTCTTGTTCAATGATATTTTTTTACTTGCTCAGGGCATTCAGCTACTTTAAAGATCTGCTATGTTCCAATATTCGTGACCGTGAAGTTTTGGGGTCTTACAATATGCAATAATCTCATGCTTACCTAATAAATCTTCATTTTATTGGTATTTACCACTTTATGATGATAATCAATATCATGGTGTATGTGTTGAATTGAACCCTTGATAAATCAAATAGAATTCAACTTATACAATGAGCGATTACCATCGAATTAAAAAACGTATTAGCAGGAAACCATCTGCCACTATTGATCTATTGATCAGAATCCAAAACTTTTATATCAGTATTAAAAACGCCAATGTGTTGTAACGGGTCTTGAATTTCACACATATCAATTGTAATAGATACTCGATACCGGAATTCATCTCAAAACTTGCAATTACAAATGAACGTCAGTATCCATGTTTGTAATCACTTCTCCATCTAATCTGGCAGTTCAATGTGAAACATGGCGTGGATTGATCCGATACTTTGACTAAATGGAGTAAAACAATTAGTCTACAAATTTACCAATGTTATTGTAGTAATGGTAAGTATTTCTGTTTCAGCATCCAGACAGGCAATCAATTCCAAATACTTGTTTAATTCTAATGTTACTTATTTTCGGATCATTCGTGTTTATCACACTCCTGCAATGTGTCAGTTATTTACAATATAGTAAATAAAATATCTTAGCTAATACATGAAAAAAAGACAGTCATTGGATAGCTACGAGATAGCAGGGGGCGGGGGGATAATTACAATGCAATGCTTCTTTATTGAATTCTATAGAATTACAGTTGTAATATTAATGAAACATCAACTAGTTTATCTGAATCGAATTATAACGCTATTGATCATTGCTCGACCGTTTATTTAAAAAAGTTGCATATAACGACGCATTTCCATAAATGCATCTTTTTACATCAAGGAGACATGTATATCGACGCACTTGGCTTCTTCTGTGCATATACTTTTTATCTACATGCAGGTCCATCGTTTCCATTGTCTCCCCACCAATAAAAACATCTATTAAACTACGTCTCCTATCGGTTCATTTTTGAAAGAGTAATCTGGATATGAATGTCTTCTCTGGAGGTGAGCGTCGATTGACTGTCGGCCAAACATTAATCATTTTTATTCATCCATTTGGGAGGTAGATGTATATTAATACGTTACGATAGTCCGTCGAAAATAATTAAATGTCGAGATACCCCTGATGTATACTTGGTTTTGGATACACAGATGTTAATGCCGTGCGACCGAGATGAGGATAGATAGAGATGAGGAGAGAGGGGGAGGGTGAAAAAAACGAGTAGGTGATAACCGGAGTGATTGCCAAATGAGTAGATATACTTGAGTGTATAAATGTCCTGGTGTCCTTGATGGGCGTAACGATACGGAACATTTTTGATCTAATTGCCAATTCGGTGTCAATGGGATAATTGGACACAATAAACAAAGAGATTCACAACAACTGTATGAATATCAATTCCTTCAAAAAAAGCCCGATAAACAAAACTAGCTATGTACTATTCTGGTCTTTTGACAAGAAGGTTATGGATTCGATTGTAAGCCATATCATAATCATTATAATCATGGGTAAACATATGATTATCATTAATCTTCGGGCTGCGTCTCGATGATGGCTGAGCTTATCACGTGAAGTATAACTTTATCAACAGATGCGCCATCATAGTCGAAAAGTTGAAAACTATTTCCATGGCTGAGCACAGAAAGGTCGGAACGGGCAATATGAAACTCAACACGTACGTTACACAATTCTGCTAACCAAAAAGTCTATTTGATTGAAAAGAGATGGATTTTATTGATATACAAAAATCAAAAAAGGAAAAGTCGTTCAAAAAATGCTTAAAATTCAGCAACAATCAAACGTTTGAATGTTGTGAATTATTGTCAACAAACCCAGACATTGCGCCACTGAACGTCATAGAATTGTCAACAAAGAGCACATGTTTATTTCTCGACAACAACATAACCAAGATAATATTATTTATGGGTCGAGGGAGATTCATATGCTAAAAAGTACAGTGACTCTAAACAAACTGATTGATTAGTATTAGGGCTGGGACATTATGATGTATTATGATGACATTTTGCAAGACTTGTTTTAGTAGGCTTATGCATAACTTATGGACTATCCATGAAATAATCTATATACCATGATTTTTAATACTATCAAATAACATGAACTTTCTACCTAAAGTTATCATCACAATGTATATAGAATTATATGTATATAAAAATATTCATATGATTTAATTCACATTAGAAGTACAGCATTACTAGCTAGATATTAGAAGCATTTGGTTCAAGGAGAAAAAATTGCTTATGTTTTAAAATGCACGATACTAAATACTCGAGGAATATCTATAGATAAAGAAAAACTCACTGTGAAATTTACCACGAAGAACGAAACGTAATAATAGTAATAAACAAAAAATCTATTGTCGAGCCAAGTAATTGGCTTTGGGAGTTAGCTCTTTCAATCGAGGCTTGGCTAACCTTAAATCGCTAATACAGTCAATGCCCTTATTTCTGGCTCTACACAACACAAGTTCTCGATTGCTAATTACACTGCAGTTGTCTACCCTAAATCGGTGGGATTGGTTCCGATAGTCTGT